TGTAGCTGGATGGTGGAGGTGCAGTGTGGCTGTGTGTTTGGGGGAAACGGGTGTGCAGCATTACCAGGGTTGGGGTTGTCGGAGAGGGTTGCAAAGTGACTACTCTGCAGCCAACAGTTTCTCTGCTCTGAGCAGTGACTTGAAAAGAACCAAGCCAGATCTCCTCATGTAGGCTCCCCTGACGGAAGGGGTGCGGTTGAGCAGCCCTCTGCCTTGCCAGCTTGGAGTAGGTTGTGCTGCTGACCCTTGTATCCAACTTCTACCTCAGTATGTTCTAGAGCGCCTCTCCCCCTCCCTGGCCTTTCAAAGCAGCTTCCCAACAGAACACTGACCCGTCCCAAATCAGCCTCCTCTAAAGCAGCTTGTGGTGACAGTTCTCAGGCCTGTCTTGTTCTCACCTGTTCTCCCCTCCCTAAACTCTTAAGGCTTCTCCCTGTAGTCACTGTGGGGGCCAGGGCCTACTCCAGGGTGTATGTGTGTGGGGAGGGGGCAGCAGGCCCCCTGCCCTCACTCGAAGGCTCTAAGCCTAGACTCAGCTAGCACTGCCCTGGCTCAGGCCCTATGGTCCCATTCAAATTCTCCACCCCCCCAGCACTCTAGTCCAACGGTGATAGTAATGCATGAGGCTGCATCACCCCCAGAGACAGGTGAGGCTCATTATCTCCGCTGTACAGAGGGCAAGCTCAGGCCAAGGTTATAGCGAGCCAGTGAGAGAGCCAGGATCGTGCCCTTCCCACAATACCATCCTGCCACGTCCGAGTGGGGGCTTTTCTGATGGGTGTGTGTCAAGGGCTCACAACACTGTCGCTGGTGGGGAAACCCAACTCTTCATGATGTGTGGCATGGCCCAGAGGGTGTCAGCTCAGCCCAAGCTGAGGCCACTCCACTTCCTGCTTGGACACACTGCAGCCAGCAACTTGGGCCCCGGCCATGTGTCAAAGGGCTACAGTCCCATGTTTGCTGCAGCAGGAGGAGAGGCTGGGATAGATAGACTAGAAAGCTGGAGTTTCTCGCACAGAAAACTCTAGGAATAGTCGCAGGGAGAGGAACCCAAAAGCCATTAAATCCCAAACCTTGGCTCTCCCATTTGTGGCCAGGCATAAGGGGTCTGCACGCCCCTACAGGCACAAAGGGGATCTGCAAAGGGGGAGAGACTCCATTAGACAAAAGATTCCACTTGTTACTTCTACTCTTGGACTTTCAGGAGTAACATAAGCTGGTAAAATCAGGGTCACAGCTGTCCTTGGGGTGCAGCGACCTAGAGCCCCACAGAAAAACACCAATTCTCTCCATCCCAGAACAAATGTTTAACCGGATGTACAAGGTCAATATTTGCTGAAAGGGAAAAATCTTCAAATAAGGGGTGGTGCTGAAGGTCATGCCTGTCACTGCCTGGCAAGCGTGGGCTGGACAAGGGGCTTCATCCGCCCCATGCAGAGCCATCGGCTGGGTAGAGAGGGTGCCAGCACCAAGAGAAATGCTTAGCAAACCGAGGTAAGGGGCAGAGGAACTGGGGGGAGGAGGGATTTGGCAATAAACTGGGGGGAACTGCTCCGGGGGGGGCACAGTGTGAAATTGCGCTAGTGGGTGGGGGGTGGAGAATTCAACAATGAGCTGAGGGCCAGGTGCCTCGGGGATTGGAGTGAAGTTTGGGGTTGCATGTGGGGCCAGCTGTAGGATTTTTTTTTGGGGGGGGGATTGAAATGCCTTCAATCTCTTCACATATGATTGGCAGATGGGGGGAGAAGGGCTGCAGCCCAGCTTTTCCAGGTTAAGCTAGGGACTGCCTGGCAAACTGACGCTGCCCCCCAGGAATTCAGCTCTGTTTTGGGGGTGGTGCTGGGTGTTTACCCAATCAAGGAGTAGGAGAACGACCCCCACTAGACCAGGGTGAGTGCTTGGGGCTGGAGCCGGGTCCCAGCGAGGTGCAGGCCAGTGTGAGTGGGCAGGGCCATGCCTGAGGCACTGGCAGGGAGCCTGGCCCCCCAAGTGACAGGAACAAGAGTGTAGCAGTGGGAGGGGCTGTGCTTGCCTGTAAGGGGACTATGTGAGTGGTGGGAAGGGGAGGGCTCTGTGCTGCAGGCCAGCTATTGAGGGGGCAACTCTAGTGATCAGCTCTGACATTGCACTTTCCACCCACAACCCTCTACAGGCAGCACCTGCTGAATCCTTGCAGCTCCCTAAAAGGCAGGTCAGTTTCACTGTCCCCCATGGAGGCACAGAGCAGCAGCAGAACTGGGACTGTCTCTGACTATCAGCCAGGGGCCTGTCCCTTCTCCTCAGCTTTGTGTGCCTGGGTGAGAGAGTGGAGAAGCTGGGCCTCTCCCTGGGTTGTGTGGGACAGATTTCATGGGGGAATCATTAGGAAACTGCAATTTGCTCTCCAGCCAAATGAGGGTGAGAGGGGTTAGAAATGCAAGTGTCCAGGGAGAATAAACTCCTGAGCACAGCTACAGCACTGCATCAGTGCTGGGTCCCGGTCTACTCTCTGGCTGCAATGCCTTGGGGTTGGGCCTGGACTCCAGTGCTGATTCAGGGACTGTTCTCTTCAGCGTCGTTCACCTTGCCGGCTGCTGTCTCCCTGAGTTGGTTTCCCAGCAGTTTGTGTCTGTTCCTCGTGGATCCTGCTTTCCTTTCCTCTCCTCTGGACTCCTAATCTGTTGCTGTTCTCATTGTAATAATGGGCAGGCACAGTGCAGGCACCCTGGGAGCAGAGAGGACCCAGGGAGTAGCTTGTGAGTGTCACTGACAGCTTTTGTATTCCAGAAATACCGCGATGCTGCTCTGGGGTCTGCTGCTCTGCTTGTCCACTCTGCACGATAGCCCAGGGGTAAGCCACAGGCACAAAGCATTGCCTTCACCCGTCCTGCAGGACATCTCCTCTGTCAGCACACTCTTCACCCCAGTCAGCCGGGGGCAGTGGCGGGAACAGGGCTGGCTGGATTAGAACAGGGCTGATCTCCACACAAGGGCTTATAGACCTCGGTTTCTTTATCCAGTCTGATGGGACTGTGGATGTGCTCATGATCCAGATAAATACCCCTGAGCTTCAATGGTCGCTAGTGGCTGTGAGTTACAGGAGTTCATCAGGCACTGTGATTTCATCCATTTGCCTCCTTGCTCTCATGACAGCAGATCTAGAATTGCTCAATCTATCTTCTATCTCAGCCACTATTCTGCATCCCTCTCTCCTGTTCCCTCTCTAAGCTAAACAGTCCCGATCTTTCCAGTCTCTCTCTAATCATTTCCATCACCCACCTCGGGACTTCCACTTCTGTTATATCCATTCTACAAAGAGGTTAGAACCATCTCTGCTTCAGTCAGCCAAGGGAACCACAGGGGACGTGCTAGTCTCTGGCCCCGTCTGGAGGGACGTGGCAGGAAGTGAGCCAGAGGGGAGTGATTTCCTCATCCGAACCTAGAGGAAGCTATTTGGTATCCAACTCTGGGCCTCTTCCCTTTCCCCCAACTCTGACTCAGGTAATTTCCTTCTAGTTTCCTTTGGCACATGCCCTTGAGATGGAGACTCCCCCCTCTGACCACGCCGACCCGCAGGAGAGCCCTGAGGTAAGCGGTGACAGGCTCCCATGTGTTGAGGTTACTCCGGGGTATTTGTAAAGCTCTACCAGCTCACCTCGGTCTAGTCCTGCCAGGGCCACCTTCAAACACATGCCAAAAATATGGGGATGTCCAACTTTACTGTGTGCAGAGTCTGCCATACGCACTGCGTCCCAAATATGGTCAGGCAACCCAGCTCCAACTGACTTTCAGTGACACCTCACTCCCTTATGCCGGTTTGAAAATCCCAGCCTGAAGTGAGAGGCCAGCATATGGTGTAATTCAGTGGCTCTCAACCTTTCCAGATTACTGTACCCCTTTCAGGAGTCTGATTTGTCTTGTGTACCCCCAGTTTCACCTTATTTAAAAACTACCCGTTTACAAAATCAGACATCAAAATACAAAAGTGTCATAGCACACTATTACTGAAAAATTGCTTACTTTCTCATTTTTACCATACAATTATAAATCAATTGGAATATAACTATTGTACGTACATTTCACTGTATAGTATATAGAGCAGATTGTCTATATGAAATTTCAGTTTGTACTGACTTCGCTAGCGCTTTTTATGTAGCCTGTTGTAAAACTAGGGAACTATCTAGATGAGTTGATGTACCCCCTGGAAGACCTGTGCGTACCCCAGGGGTATGCATACTCCTGGTTGCGAATCACTGGTATAAGGGACAGAAACTGATGTGTAAAGAGATTGGCTGGTGAATTAATTATTCAGTCATAAAACCAATAAAGGAAATTACCAGCTGTGGGCCAGCAAGAATAGAGGCTTGTGTCTGAAACTGTCTGTCTTGGCTTTACACTGTGCCCATCCCTGTGTTACCTGAGTGCTACATGGATCTGTTCAAATACACACAAGGAAACCTCTGTATGTCTCTCCCTCTCCCCCTGCTATTCTGTAGGGAGGGTTTTTTGTCATTTAGGTGGAGTTATTTAGGGCCAGCTAGGTCCAAGAAGTGACCAGCATTGTAGATGTAGAGGCTGTGACACCCACAGAGAATGTGCAGAGATGGTGTGAGGCAGATCTGCAGTGCTAGATGTGTGGAGAGGAGGAGAGTTCGGGGTTGAGGATGATGCTGGAGCTACAGACGGAAGAGGCAAAGGGAGGCCTGAACAAGAAGGGAGCCAGAACTGGGGTGCAGGAGACTCCTCGTGCCAAGAGAAGGATGTTAGCCAGAGATATTTAACTGAAGGAAGCTGAGATGAAGCCATCTTTTCACTTAGACAGGGCAGATCAAGAGAGTAGGCAGAGAGGAGTGATTGATTGTCTTGGAAGACCCCGGCTTGGCCCGTTTTCTTTGAAAAGAAAGAAACCCTTTCTTTAAGGCACTTTCTATTTTCCAAGTTTGTGCTCATGTGAAATCCTGAATAACTACTTTCAACCTTCAGGGCCCTGCAGTGGAAAATGCCACCAGCATAGAGAACCCAGAGTGGGATCCCTCAGCACAACCACTGACCAGTCAGGTAACAGAGAGGACGGAGGCACTGGCCAGAGCTGGGACTGATCTGCTTCAGGCAGAGCAGTCCAGGCACAAGGGGTGATGCTGTCACTACCTCAGCATATTCTGTCCTGGGATGTACTGTGTCAACACACACCGGCCACCTCGGCACTAATACTCCATAGTCAAAGAATACACACAAGTTTTGAGAAGGGACTGGCTGCAACAGGTCCTTTATCATCCTCCTCTTTAGTGTAGGTCATCATCTGGTTGCTATTATTGTCAGGGGACTTGTTCCCTCTGTTCTTCAGTGCAGCCCTAATAGTAGCTGCTCAGATGTCAGGACAGTGCTGATCTTTCAGTGCTGATCAGTTCCCTCTGGGTAGCCTCCCTCTCACTGACTACCTGCAATGCTTCATCACAGAGCACGTAGCCTGTGCCGGCTAACTAGGCATGCTGCCTCCCTACTAGTGTGAACTGGACCCATTTGTCCCCTCCCTGTGACAAGCCACCTGCAGTCCCAGTAAGAGAGTGAGGATGCAGCTCTGTTTCCCTGCTTTCTCTCAATGTAACTTCCTTCTGTTTCATTACAGCACTCTGAAGAGGCTGGAGCCTTAGAAGGAGATCCACAGTTTGTTCCCACCACCACTCTTCTGCCAGGAGTGGATCCAACCCTGTCAAATGCTGCAGTGTCGGATTCCACCTCTGACACCTGGGAAGACATCCATGGGCCTACACTGCCACTTCCTACCACTACCAGCACCACAAGCCCCGGGGCTGGCCTCACAAGCTCAGGGGGCCATCTTATCACCGGGACAGTAGGAGATCACAAGCAGGTGCTGGAGGTGCAAGAAGTTGATTCCTCTGAAGAGGAGGGAGAAGGTCAAGAGAGAGGCTGTGACATGTCTCAGGAGCAGACACGCAGGCTAGCAGAAGGTCTGATGAAATTCACCATCGATCTCCTGACAGAGGTCCAGATGGAGACCAGCAAACCCAATGTGATCCTGTCTCCCCTCAGCATCACCCTGGCATTGTCCCAGCTGGCACTAGGTAAATTACTAGGTTCAAACAACACAAGCTTTTGCCCTCTGTGATGTTCCCTTTAGGAGAAGCACCCATAGCCAATGTCCAAAATGCAAACAACTAAGCTGGGTATCCTCCCGCCAATGTTACTCCTCTGGCTTTATCGACTAAGGGGAATGAGGTTACCCTCACTTGAGGCTGGTCTCAGTTTCACTTGCTGGGACAGCATGGACCCAGTCAGGAGGTGCTGGGTATTGCCGCTAATGTCTTACACTCAGACCACCAGAGTCTCTCTGGGAAGACATCAGATGCCCTGCCAGAGAGGGAGGTGGTCAGAGCACCTGCCCCTTAGCCCCTCGGATATTGACACAAATCTGACATTGCTTTTAAGGAGCAGCAAACCAGACAGAGAAACGCCTGCTGGAGGCGCTGCACCTGGAATCAGTGCCCTGTCTCCATCACCTGCTGAGCAGCATTCGCAGGCAGCTCACAGGGTCCATGCTCAGTGTAGCTTCACGCATCTATCTGCAGAAAGGTGAGAGCCAGGAATGGGGAATTCCTGTTGGGGTGTGGCTGCTGAAATAAAACTCTCTGGGACACACACAGACTGAAGCAGCTGTGCTGATAGAACAGTGACACCCCTTAATTTCCTGAAGTACTCCCTGTGGGGAAGCCCCTGCTATCTGGTGAGCACATCTGGCTTCACACCGCACTGTCTGACACGCTGAGTGAGTTTCATCAAGGCCAGATGACCTCATGTCGAGTTCCTTCCTTGCAGGGTTTGAGGTTAAAGAGAAATTCTTGGAGAACTCAGAGCGATTCTATGGGGCAAAGCCTGTGACCCTGTCTGGGAACAATGAAAATGACCTCATAGCCATAAACAAGTGGATAAAGGAGGCAACTGAAGGGCAGATATCCACTTTCCTGGATCAGCTCCCTGCAAGCACTGTGATGCTCCTACTCAATGCTGTCCACTTCCAAGGTGAGCTTCAGCGCACTCCACAGTCCCCACTTTCCAGGCCTTCCCCTCAGTGACTAGCTGGGGTTCCGGGTCCTTTCCCCAGGTGAAGTGGCTGCATGTACCCAGGTGGAATCTCCTTTCATTTCTTCCCCATTTTGCTAGATCCCTCTTCCTCCCCCCTGCATGTATGCAGTTCCCCTTGTTTAGTCTTGTCTTCAAATCTCATTACAGCGCAGCCTCCTGACTTCCTCACCTGTGCTACACACGTTAACTGACCCAGGAGCCAGAACTAGCCCACAGCATCCCTGTCACCTCACTGGTCCTGATCCCTGGGAGGCAGCACATCATCTTGCTCTTCTTAGCCAGGTCGCACACACTTCATTAGGTGCCCAGCAAGGTGCTCTGAGGTGCTCCTGCTAAGTCGTGGCCAGGTTACAGACCAGCACAACCTTAGCCTGGTCTTCCTCTAATTCCCTGAGGGCTGAGTACCTCTGTGCTGTCAGGGGCCTGGCCTGTACACTTGCAGGATCACTGATGCTGGCTTCCTTCCTCAATCCCTGCATTACTGGTTGCTCTACAGCTGTCTCTCTTCTCCATCACGGATTTTACCCTGCACTTACAGACATTCTCTACTTCCTTCCCACAGCACCTCAGTCTTCTCCCTCACTGAGGCACAGAGAGGGGATGCCATTAGGCGTTGGCTCATTCCACTGCACCACACAGCCTCTCCTGAGGATAAAGACATCCTGCACTCAAAATTCTTCCTGCTATGGCACTTCTTTCTCCCTGCTCCAGTCACCACTCACCTGTTTGCTGATGTGTTGTCAGGCACTTTCCTTTGTTTTTCATTCAGGTTTGGGTTTGATTAATTATAAATTTATGGTTTTGGACAGGATTTTGGAGGCATAAGTTTGACCCCAGCCAGACTGGGCCAGATGTGTTCCACCTTGACGACCAGTTCATAGTTCCAGTTGAGATGATGAAAGCTCAGAAATATTCCCTGAGCTGGTTTACTCTGGATCCCCTGGAGGTTCAGGTAAGAGTCTGTCTGGGGTGCTGCTGGGCAGCTACGGGAATATCCCTTTGTTATTGCAATGCCCCCACTGCATCGACGTTCTATGAGAAGAGATGGGAATACCTGTTCACAGACGCAGGACACAGAAGTTCTTTTCAAACATCCTTTGCCTTCGTTCCCTGAAAGGCTGTAACATCTTTGCCCTCAAATTCATGGGATGATGGACTAGATGGGACCTAATGGACCTTTTGGATAAGTCTGAGAGAAATGAAGCAACATGGAGATGGAATTCTCCCATGAAAAGTGGGAGGATCTCTTCAGAACAGGGCCACTGCAGTGTAAATGCAGTTCATTTTACAGGGGGGCCTTTGTGTTTCTCATATCGTTGGTCTCCACCTGCCTTGTGGATAAATACTGGATCTAAGCATTAGCACTATCTGCTCCAGTCTGACCGCTGACTCCCTGGGATAAACAGCCACTCCACTCCCACCATGCTGCCCTCCTCCCCATGGCTAATTGTTCTATTGACAAATCGCTTTCTGAGCCCTCATTGTCTTTGCTTGGCTGTTTCCTGTTCCACCAGTTCTTCTGATTGGTTTGTTTCCAGGTAGCCAGGTTTCCCTTTAAGGGCAACATGAGTTTTGTGGCCATTGTCCCAAACCAGTTTAAGTGGAACGTCTCCCAGGTGCTGGCGAACCTCAGCCATGACAAGCTGCACAGCCGCTTCCCCAAGGAGAAGCCCACCATGGTAAAGATGCCCAAACTGCATGTAGATTACCAGCTTGAACTCAACCAAGTCCTCAGCCAACTAGGTAATGCCCAGGATGAGGTTTGCACGGTATGAATGGGTTGGGCTGATTGCAGTTATCTGTGCACTGAAGCTCAGAACTGATCTTCTTGCTCCAGGCAACTTCAAAGACCTTGTAACTCTTTACTCTTCTCCCTGTTCCTGCCCTTTGCTTTTTTAGCACCAGCCTTTTCTCTGCCCTGTCTTCACTGCAGTTCCTGTAGCTGTCTCTCCCTATCTTCCCCTCCTTCAGCTCTCCATCTCACTTCCAAACTCAGCTGTGACCACCTTTCCCCTGCCTGTGACCTCAATTTATTTTCCCTTGATGTTGGGATGTATGAACTGCTAAGACAACTGTGCTTCTCAGTGACAATGCAGATCACAAAGCCCAGAACAAAGTGTGTGAGAACTAAGGACAAAACAGTCTTTGTTAAGAGGGTCTGGACCGGGTTATGAAATGGACCTTCCTCATGGACACAGCATTTCCAGCATAGCAGGAATGACATTCACCACAAAGCCCCCGACCTACCCAAGCATCCTTCAAAAAACAAAATCTACAACCAACCAATAAACACCAAGCAGCAAACAAAATATACCCCACCAGAGCTTCCCACCCCTTAGGAAGAAATGCCAGAGACTCTATGAATTCCACTAGGGACAGCACTGTGGAAGGTGCTCAGATACCTTGCTGTGGGCAGCAGTATAAAGCCCTAGGATAGATGGTCAGTCCATATGAAAGCTGCGTATGTTTGGCACTTGCAGCTATCCATACAGGGAAGGACTGATAAATCTGGCCAGAGTGCACTTTTCCTTACTCTGCCTGCCCATTCCCTAGTATGGGATCTGGTATGGTGCACTGTCCAGTCCCTGGTGTTGGTACCGAATACAGTGATACAGACTGTTGCTTCCTCTACGGAGAGGTTCTCAAACTGGGGGGCAGGACCCCTGGGAGGGTTGCGAGCTGTCAGCTTCCACCCCAAACCCCGCTTTGTCTCCAGCATTTATAATAGCGTTAAATATATTAAAAAGTGTTTTTAATTTATGGGGGGGGGTCGCACTCAGAGTCTTGCTATGTGAAAGGTGTCACCAGTACAAAAGTTGAGAACCACTGTTCTACAGGGATAAAATGAATGTCTGAGCCAATGGCATGCCATGGCACTGAACTAGTGAGTAGACAGGCTTCTGTTTGACCCCAATTTGATTTCTATTTAGGCCTCGGGGAGTTGTTTTCCGCCCCAGACCTGCAGAAGATCACAGATGAGCCTCTCTTTGTATCTAGCATCCAGCACCAGTCCACCCTGGAGCTTGCAGAAGATGGCGTGGAGGCATCAGCTGCCACTAGTGTCATGATGTCTCGTTCACTCTCCACTTTCAGCCTCAACCAACCCTTTCTCTTCATTATCTTTGAGGAGACAACAGGCATCCCACTCTTTGTGGGCAGCATCCAGAACCCCAACCCCAGCGCTGCCCAACAGAAAAAAGAGCCACAGGACTCACCTAACCTGAAAAATGGCATCAAAAATAGTATCCCCAAATAAGGGAGGAGCAGTGCCTAGGAGTCCTGGGACTGCTGCCTATGAGACCTCTGTAGCAGGGTCTCTCTCTCCTGGCTGGGCTTCCATCAGAAGCCCTTCTGCCCCATCCCAGTGGGTCCCCTCTGGCAGGGCTCTCTCTAGAGCCCCTCAGCACCACTCTTGAGCAGCAGTGCTGGTACCAAATTGTCTTGAATACTCATTAGCTTCTGACAATGTCTCTATGCAATTGGACAAAGACAAGAGGTGTAAAAGCTGCTCTTCCCTCTGAGCCCCTTATGCACATTCCTTGGTCAGGACATTCGCCAAACAGCAGGACTTGCTTGTCACTAGATAGGCAAATAGCAGCTAAATCAAATTGATTAGCAGCCAGTCGCCTTCCCTGGGATGTGAGTCTCAGCTACTATTTCTGATAAAGGTTCTGCCTAGAACATTCCTGCCCCAGTCCCCTGGGTACTGGGATCTGCTGGGTGTGTGCGCAAGGGAGGGGGCTCATTTCTATCCCTGGCACCAGCCCTTCACCTGGGATGTTGGAGGCAGCTTTTGTAAAGTGTTTTTTAGTAATTTTTATGTTGGCAGAATAATAAAGAGTGAAACAGATGATGTTTGGCTGAGTTGTCACCTTGAGAGATACCCGGCAGAGACTGGAAAGGGGCATAGCAGGGCAGCAAACAGGCGGAGTAACTGCAAAGACTGGGGGAAAAAAGAGTTACTGGGGCTTGACTGAAGGATGGAAGGTCCTAAAGGGTCTCATGAGAAGTGAGCAGTCCTTTCTCCTTACTCCAACTCACACCACCAGAATGAGGAGCCACAGGATGAGATTAATGGCTAGTAAATATGGAACCATTAAAAGGACATTGCCCATTCCCCTTTGGAAATCTCAGCTGAACATACTAGAGAATCCACTAATGTGGGTGGATACAAAGAGAGGGGCAATCCAGTCTGATGCCGTAGGGTCTGAACTGAGCTGTAAGGGTCAGGAAGGAAATTTCCCCATTAGCAGCACTGCACAACTGGCTGGTCTTTGCCTTCCTCTGAGGGAGGAATTGGTACTGGGCATTGCCAGCTGGCAGGCTGCTGGATGCAATGGATCCGTGGTGTAACCTGGTCTGGCACATCCTACGTGTGGCTTGTTATCTTATGTTGGGTGTTCCTGAGCCTGCAGAACAATGCTACAGGAGTTTGACATCTTCCACGACATGACTGCATCTCCTTAGGGTCAGAGTCACTTCCTTCTGTCAGTACAGGAATGGTGTTCACCTGGAGCTTCACTTCTGAGCTGGGTACAGCTCACTGGATCCCTGCTCTGAAATAACTCTGCATGTCTGACCCAAGCAGCAAAGACTGATGGTTTGGGGGAAAAGCAACCCCCACCGCAGCAACTTAAGCTGTGTTACGTTAGTCTTGCTAGTTTCAGTGTTTCTGTAGCAATTAACAGTGAATGTCTACATGCTGACAAAGGGAATTTAGAACCACTCTTTGTTGGCCGTAGCAGATTCTGCTTCTCATCACTTCTAGGAAGCCCTTCTAGGGTATGTTTACAGTGCATCTGGGAGCGAGCCTCCCACCCTGGTCCACAGACCTGGGTTAGCAGGGCTCACGGTAGTGTGCTAAAGGTAGCTGTGTAGACGGGGTGGTTTGGGCTCTGAAGCCCACCCTCCTCCTACAGGTTTCAGAGCCCAAGCTGCAACATCTACACAGCTACCTTTAGCACACTACTGTGAACCCTGCTATCACAAGTCTCTTCACCCAAGCTGAGAGGCTCACTCCCAGTCACCACACAGATATATCTTAGTGGTTTTGTTTTCGCATGGAAGTAGCTAAAGAACCAGAGTCACCTTCCCAACAGCTCCCCCTTTCCTGAGTAGATCTGCCCCAACCAGAGAGCAAGTTGCCTGTTGGCATCTCCCTCACTGACTGTCCTGCACTTTCTGTTGGGATTGGAGGGAGGGGGATCGACACACTGACCACAAACTTCAGGGACACAAGAAACTTTTTAAAAGAAAGCAACTGGCTCAAACCTGCAATTACCAATAGACAACACACATGGTTTACAGATTCCAAGTCTAAGGGGAGACCAGCTAAGAATAATTCCCAGCCCTGTGACCCATGGAATAACATTTACTGGTCAAGAAGAGGGTGTAATTACTCTACTATGTAAATAACAAGTAAACCAGAAGGAATCCAGCTCTATTACCAGGGCCCTCAGGGAACATTTCAGATTGCTTTGCTCTCATAATTACTGCCTTATTTTAGAGATGCTGGTCCATGCCTTCGTTAGGTCTTGCCTTGGCTACTGCAACTTCCTCCTCCTTGATTCGCACCTTGCTGCATTCCATTCTATCCAAAATCCTGCAGCTAAAGTCATCTTCCTTCCACACCACTGCCTTCCGGCTCCCTTTGTGCAGAATGTATTTTTTCTTCCTCTTCAAAGCTCTGAACAACTCAGTTCTTATTTCCTCCTACTCCCCTTCATTCTGGTAGTTCCCTCCTGCTTTTCTTCTCCTACTCCCATCTTCACTTTGTTCCAGAGGGCAGTGGCTAGTTCCTGCTATGCTGAATATAAGGCACAATTAACTTTTTATGGTCAACAAATATTCTGTTACGTCAAAATTCATTCATGAGATTTTGTGCAGTCTTTTGAGGCTCTCTGATGGAGGGGGCTGTAGAAATGCAAACTATTATTAACATCCAGGCTCATGACTTCCCACCACAGGACAATACTCTTGCTTCCTAACATTCATACATCTTGGTAGTGACCCTTGAACCTATTCTGGTAAAGCAAAGCTCTATCATAGATTGTAAGGCCGGAAGGGATGACTGTGATCTTCTAGTCTCCAATGTATGACACAGGCCATAGGACTTCCTTGAATTAATTCCAGTTTGAACTAGAGAAGGTCTTTTAGAAAAACATCCCATCTTGATTTAAAAAATTCCAGTGATGGAGAATTTCCCATATCCCTTAGTAAGCTGTTCCAATGGTCAATTACCCTCACTGTTAAATTTATACCTTATTTCCAGTCTGAATTTTTTGAACTTCAACTTCCAGCCATTGGATCTTGCTATAACTTTTTCTGTTTGAAATAGTTTGAAATAGTTTCTATTATCAAATTTCTGTTCCCCCATGTAGGTACAGGACCTCTGCCCTGAAAACAATTGCCCAAAGGGTGAAGCCATCACTAAATTAATATTTCTTGATAACTTTCATTTTTGAAATGTTATTGAATTTCTTCACTATAGCAAATCCATATGAATATCAAACATACAAAATGTCCATGACACAAAGCCTAATGCTGTTCAGAAAGAATATGCCCTATTTTAAATAAAATAAGCCACTCAAACCAAAATAAAATGTCCACGTGGGTTTGCACTGGTTTAACTAAATTTGTTTAAACTCACAACTTTAGTTAATCTGATGCAACTCTCCACATAGAAAAGGACTAATTGACTTAGCTAAAGCAAAATAGGTGTGTTCACACAGCCTTTGCATGGGTTAAAAAAAATCACACCTACAGTTAAACTGGTGCAACTTTCTTGTGTAGACAAGGCCTTAGTAAGAATCAGCCCAAAGCCTTTCACAAAAGGCATTTTAGTACTAAACACATACATTAAAAAGAGGAAGTGGAGAAAAACATGGGAAATGTTAACTGCTAATCTCCAACAACCAGCATCACTCAGCCTCAGGTGAATGCAGAAGGGGTCTCAGGGACAAGCTTATTTCCACAGATCTCTGCTTACAATACAAGTCCAGAAGCAGTGTCCACATAAGGCCATAACTGTCCATCTTATTACTGCTCAGGAAGACTGTTTTTTCTCACTTGGCCATGGTCAATGAAGCAGCACTGACCCACAAGAAACCAAATGGGATGATTTGCTTTTCCAGCTCACAAAGATGCTGGTTTGCGGTTCATGTGGATCTCCAGTCATCCCCTCTTCCCATTAGCTGAGGGCCTGTAGGCGATGAGTGCATGTATGAATAAGTCTCATTGCCTAGAGAGTAAGGCCTGCAGCGCAGCAGGGATAGATTCCAAGACAATCCCAAATGTGGGGTTTGGTACAGCTGCCTTCCCTACTTTCAGCATTTCCCTCTAGACAAGCTGCTTGCAGCAACGGTCAGATAGCCACAGTCCCATCCCATCTCTCCTTCACTGAGCATATTAGGTCATTCTTGTTAATACTGACACTGCATCTTGGCTAGAGCCACTCCTGGGTCCTTTCTCCTTAGTTGCTTTAAATTGATATTTGGATCCTGCTGTTGGGTTGAGGTTCTTGCTACGTTAAATGGAGTTGCTGCTATATTAATGATGCGACCGCAGCTCCCACACAGCCATCACCAAGCATTTTATAACCCCCTGAGGTAGGGAAGGAATAGTCCCATTTTACAGATGGGGAAGCCGGGGCACTGAGATGGGAGCTGACTTGCCCAAAGTCACACAAGGAGCTTGTAGCAGAGCACAGAATAGAAGCCAGAGAACTTGGTTCTCAGTCTTGTGCTTTAACCACTGACTGTTTCTCAAATAATGGGCATTTGCTTTGGGAGCTGGATCAAGTGCAGGGTTAAAGCCAGCACAATGCAGTGACAATCACAGGATCAAAAAATGAGAGCAGACCACTTTAAGAGAGCCCTGGGAAGTGTAACCTGAAGCCTGCTGAAGGCTGGGCTTGGGGGCAGTCTGCTGGCAGGCAGCAAAGAAAGCAGATGTGGCTGTTATAAACTCCATGCTGTTCAGACTCTCATCAAGGGTGGTAACATAGGACAGCAGTGGCTGAGAAGAGTTCGAGGTAAGGAGCAATTCACCCTGCTTCCAGACCTGTTGGCCCACAGCTAGTAGCAATTGGAGTGCCCAGAATGATGGGAAGGTCACAGGAATGAGCCGGGGGGAGGGGGCTCTCTTGCAGGGCCTGGGAGACAGGAGTGATGGTCCTTGCTATGGTATGGCTTGGAGAGTGAAGAATTCCTCCTGGGGAAACAGGAGTAGGCTGGAAATGGGGGACTCTCCGGCTTCTCCTGGAGCGATTGAGGGCCAGAAGTGTGCTTGGG